TTGTTTTTAAGCCTTTAAGTCTTAGGTGGCCTGTTATTCAGCATGGCCTTACTAGTTTATAAGGATGGTGGCTGAAAGCCGGGGTCGGATGACGACCTGCGATCAATGAGAACTTTCATGGGGTAGCATTTAGGAAGTGGCCAGAAAGCTGAGGGAGGTGGGAATCTAAGGCTTAAAAACTCAGCACCTATGTTCTCTAGGGGGAATCGGAAGAGTCTCCCCTCACTGAGGCAAGAAGGAGCTCACGGAGACAGAAGGCACCAGCATCTCTGAGAAGCTCAGTGACGTGTGTTTCATCTACGCTGCCATGGAGCTGGGCTCCTTAAGATCAACAGCGATACTGGGGTTTCAGAATGGACGAGGGAGTGTCCAAGGGCAGATGAATAGAATTCCTGCCCAGGGAAGCAAGGCCCGGCAGCAAAGAGGATGCAATGGCTTTCAGGGAATTATGGCCAATTGACTGTAAGGATGGGATGGAGGGAGCTTCAATTTTCCTTTGGAAACAGTAAAAATCCTCAGCTAGTAAGCAAAAGACTGGCATTAAGTGGCCGCAATAGGAAATCATGGTCCTTCATTCAGATTCTCAATCTAAGTTCGTAGAAGCGGCCCTCCTCCACCAGTGAGGGTTCAGGCCACATTAAGGAAGGGGGCGTGCAGTGACCTCAACGCTGTGTCTCAGAAATGTTCCTCCAACCTTTCCCCAACGGGATCTGCCATCTGAGCACCACTGGACACTGGGAAGAGGAGACTACCGAGACTTTTCAGAGGTTTCTCAAGATGCAGAGTGTGGGCTGACGTGGAAATCAGGAAAACAAGATCCACCATCCCAGATCTCTGGTTAGAGTAGGGCTAGAAGAGACCAGGTGATAAATGGAGCTGAGTCCAAGTTCAGGGAGTCCTACGAAAGCTGACAGAATCCTCTCGTGGGTCCCCTGACCTGTGGAGTGAAGGCTGGTCCGGTAGGAAGAGGCAGTGGAAGTGCTTGAAACTCTCCTGAAGTTTATTTCTGCAGTATTATTTCTGATTTAATATTTTGGCTGAGGTTGTGTTCCTCATCATATGCCCATGTAATTTGCCTGTCTGGCCTCTGGGAGAACAGATGGAGCATGGTGGATACACTGTTGTAAAATTAACCAGTTGATAGCCGGAACCACACTTAACTGCTGGCTGTGTGTGGCATCTTTCCAGGGGCAGGTGAGCACTTGCTATCTGGCAATTGTCCTGATGGATGCATTCTTTTCGATACTCACCAGAAAAGATGATGAAGGCAGTTTGCTTTTAGCACCTTCGCGTTTTGTTAACATTCTAGCGTTCTGTTTTACTTTATACTGTGGTCGTCAAGGACGATTGCCTTGACGTTCCCATGAACATTATGCTGATATGCATATTGATGACATCATTTCAATTGGACACGAACAGGAAGTGTAAAGGAGACCTGGGAGCGCAAAGATTAAGTGCTCAGCTACTCACCACAAGGTTGATGGTTAAAACAAACCCAGTACCTCCACAAGAGAAAAGACCAGAAAATCGGCACTACGACGGGGCAATTCTATTCTGTCATATAGAATCACTATGCGTAAGAAATGACAGCGACAGTGCTGTTTGTCAGAGAGTGAGAGACAAATAGCATGCAGATACAGGGGCCTGCCTCCTTGGTAACATTGTTAGGAGTGAGTGATTTGGAGCATGACAAGACTAATCATTTCACCTTGATAGTTAAGGTTTTGCATCACCTTGGCTGGGCCAGGATTCTCAGTGGCTTGACAATTAAGATATGGTAATGCCTCATCATGTGATCTAATACAATGTCATAATCTTCATGATGAGATCGGCTAGGAGCAGCCAATCCACTGAAAAAATTTCCTCAGGGGTGTGGCTGGCTTCCAATATATGTGGATGCCATGGAAAAGCTTGTTTGCTTTTTCCTGGGTCTGGATCCTGCATCTGGCTCATCAGCTGACCGCTAGTTCTTTGGAGTTTAAGCCATCAACCTGTCATATTGCTGCTGATCTTGGGAGTCATCATTAACCTGCCATCTTACCCGTGGACCTTTTGATTCATTCACTTCTGCAGCCAGAACCCTGTCTGACCTGCCAATCTTGGGTTCATCAGCCCCTGCAGCTACATGAGTCAGGAGAAGCCTTCATCTGACACCTGAACCATGGGCTTAGAACTTGCCTACCTGTACAACTGTGTGGGCCATTTCCTTGATATAAACCTCTACAAGTGTGTAAGCCATTTCCTTGTATCTATAAGCTTCACCGTTTTGTTTCTCTAGAGAACTCAGCCTAAGATAGCATCTCATGTAGCCTATCACTTAGAAAGAGACACAGTACTTGGTGGACCTCTTTGGATTTTGATTATACACACTTACAAATGTCATCGATCCTTTACTGGGTGGGTTGGAGGGATTCCAGTTGTGAGTAGGGTCCAGAGCAAGAGATGGCTATACAGAAGGTTTAGGCCACAAAACAAAGTATGCTGCCACTGCATTAAATGAGACAGCAGGTGAAATGTTGCTGGAGGTATCTGTGAAGGTTAGGATGTTGTAGGAAGTCTCTGAAGGCTGAAATGAAAGAGCTGCAGTGAGAATCCTTAGGATTTTACAGTAAGGCCATGGTTCGTTTGAAAGGAAAGGTACTGATGTGTTACTGGGCCCCAGGAGTGGCTAAGCATCTAGACATTTTCTTGAACTGGGTGTTAGCAGACAAGCATTGTAGCAATCCAATCTAGGATGGAGGTGCTACATTCAGACCTGGGCTCAAAAGGATCCAGAGGGGTAATTCAATTAAATGAACTCTATTGCTCTTACCCCTCTCCATTGATTTATATCTATAGCTTCACGGAAGACTACCTGTAACCAACTGATAAAGGAGACCCAATTCATAGGTAGTTCAGTATGATATTTTGGCACCAGCTACAAATGGACCACAATTTTATAGCTCCAGTTGTGGGTAGTCCTGCAGGACAGGATGATTCTCTCAGCAGGCAGAACCACAAGAGTCTCTCATAAACTTTATCAGCCCTTTGTATGGAGGAAGCAATAGGCTGAGATACAGATCTACGCGAATTCTTATTAAGAGGCAAATGTCTGAGTAGTTGGTCAATAGAGTGGAAAGAACAAAGCTGGAAGCTCAGAGATAAGCAGGTCTGTGGAAGAGACATAAAGGCCAGTCCTACAGGAGTAGGAGCCCTGGAAGCACAGTGCTCAGCTGCTAACCTAAAGGTCAGAGGTTCAAATCCACCAGTCACTCTGCAGGAGGAAAATGTGGTGACCTGCTTCCATTAAGATTACAGCCTTGTAAGATATGACAAAATAATAATTTATAAATTATCAAGGGTTCATGAGGAAGAGGGAGCGGGAAGGGAGGGGAGAAAATGAGGAGCTGATGCCAGGGGCTTATGTAGAGAGCAAATGTTTTGAGAATGATGAGGGCAATGAATGTACAAATGTGCTTTACACAACTGATGTATGTATGGATTATGATAAGAGTTGTATGTGCCCCTAATAAAATGATTTTTTAAAAAAGAAAAGAAAGTAAATGTCTAGAAAATGATGATGGCAACATATGTACAAATATGCTTGATACATTTGATGTATGAATTGTTATAAGAATTGTAAGAGCCCCCAATAAAATGATCTTTTAATTTAAAAAAAATTTACAGCCCTGACTCAAGTAGAAAGAAAATGTTTTGAAAATGATGATGGCAACAAATGTACAAATGTGCTTGACACAATGGATGCATGGATATATGTGATAGAGCTGTATGAGCCCCCAATAAAATGATTTTTTTTTAAAAAGGTTACAGCCCTGGAAACCTTCTGGTATGGTTCTGCCTGAAGTAGTGAGTGTAGCACAAAGGTCCTTGTGTCTGGACCTCATGCTCCCTGGAGACCAATCACTGGAGAAGAGGCATCCCTCCTGTGGGTGTCCCCAGCCTCCAAACGTAGCAACTCAATTGCTTTGTGAAGGAGCACCGCCCACCCCGGGGTGGCGGGCTCAAGGGTGAAGCACTCCGCTGCTCATCACAAGTCAGCTGTTTGAGCTCACCGGTCACTTCATAGGAGAAAAGACCTGGCGATCTGCTCTCGGAAAGATTCACAGCCTATGAAACGCTTTAGGGAGTTCTAACCCTACCCTACAGGGTCCCTATGAGACCAAACCAACTTGAGGACACACCACACTGACACACACTGCTTTGCAATTGACCGGTGAAAGAGTGACCCAGACAGCAAGGATGAAGCCTACCTTGGGCACCACCTCCTGGGCGCCTTACTTAGGGAGGGCAGTCAGCTACCAGGTGGCAGGTTGAGTACATCAGACCCTTCCACTGTGGAAAGAGCAATGAGTCATCCTGCAGGGAATTGCTATGCCTTCCAAATGTGGGTTGCATTTCTTACCCATAATACCTCTGCAAGCATCCCATCCAAAGGGATGATCAATCCTCTACTTAAGGCCAGGGGTCCCATTTGAGGGCAATGACCTCTCTTTCCAGACCCTACACACCTCGGAAGCAGCCATCCCGAGGGAGCAGTGGAATGGAGTGGGTCCATTTCCAAAGCTTTCATCTCCTGAACTGCGAAATGGTAATTAAAAATAGTAAATGGTACTATTTCACAACGCTGCTGTGGGGCTGAAGAGAACGAATGTTCGGAGAGCACTCCGTGCAAGTCCTGACATGCAGCTCAAGCACGAGAGGGTCTTAGGGTGAAATAAATGGACTGGTCACAGGCCTCCACGCCCCAGGGGGGACTGGTGGTCCGGCTTCACTAAACCGACTGGGGCCTCACATGCTCCTTTAATGGGACCTGCCGGGAATATGCTAGTCTGTTTAGAAATTCCCAGTGTGCATTGCTCCTTTCTGCCACTAGGCAGTGCCGATGCACAGATGCACTGAGCCAGAAGGAAAAGAAACTGCAGTGGCTGGGAAATGGAAACTGAACTCAGCTGCCTGGGCTGGGGGTTGGGGGGTGGGGGAGGGAATCCAGGGGTTATAAAAGTGGCAGCCCTCAGCCTGGGCGCAGACTACTGGCAGTTTCTCCATCCATCCACAGGCTTCAGGTAAGATTCTTTCTTTTCCCTCCACCTCCAAGGCCACCCAGTAGCTTCACTAGGATGGGTGTTACCCACAATGGTAACTCCTGGTGTCCCACACCCTAAACTTATTATCAATTTTAATCATGGAATAATAGATGCCGAATATAATTGTAAATTATTTTTAATGTAATTATTTCTTGTATGTGCCAGGCAGCTTCTCTAAAGATCACAGCCCTGGACACCCTTTGCATGTACTCTGAACTACAGGGCCGCTCTGAGTCGGGGTCCACTTGATGGCCACGGGTTTGTTCATTTGTTGAAGTGGTAGGGACACAGGATGGACCATTTCCAAACTCCCACCTACCCACTGATACACGCTCGATTAACAGCCACAAGAGCAGCCGCACCTGTGAGGACTCGCCAGGTGCAAGCCCCGTGTGCCTGCACAAGATCCCCCCATTCGCTCGGCGAGGCCATCGGGGCTGTGAGGACTCTGACGACCCGGAGCTCTGAAGAGGGGTCCCTGGCGCAGTGCCACCCGTAGTCTGAGGACTTTCTCCCCCTCTCCCCCATCCCCAGAGCCAGCAGCAAAGCCCGCTCGCAGCACCACCATGCAGCAGAAAGCAGAATCGCTCCTTCTGTGTTACCTGCTCTTCACCTACAGCGGGGTCGACGCAGGTTAAGAATTCAGGACTGGAGCGGAAGGCAGCGGACTCACAGGGAGACAGGGGGTGGGAGAGGTGGGGGGAGCGATAAGGGGGTAGAGTTAAAGGGAGGGAGGCTTTGGTGTGCCTCGGAACTCGGAAGCCGTTAAGGTAGACCGCACATGGTTGCTGTAACCAGCGTCCTACTCGGCCCATTTTTCCATTCTTCCGAAGCATTTTCATTGCCACCTATGCTTTGGGGTGTGTGTGTGTGTGGGGTCTTTCCATTATTTGAGACGCTCCAATAGGAAAGTGGCTCCCCCTCTGCACTCCACCCTCCCCACTTCTGGGAGAGTGATCTTAACGCGGGCACAGAGTAGGGCGCCCCCGTCCCGTCCCCCTCCCCACTCCACATGGCTGGGCCGGCTCTCCCCACAGGAAAGAGAAGTCACTCAGACGACAGTGACACAGGAAGCTGGGGCGCCTGGCCCTACGTGATCGGAGGAGGTGGGTCTGGGGGTGGGGTGGGGGCGGGGCGGGGCCGGGGCCCGCATCGGGCATGCGCTCACTTTCCTCTCCCCGCAGGCCTCCTGGTCGCCGGGCTGCCGGTGGCGCTGGGCTTCACCTCCACCGGCATCGTCGCGGGCTCCGTGGCCTCCTGGATGATGAGCACGTCCGCGGTGGTGAACGGCGGCGGCGTGCCTGCCGGGGGCGTGGTGGCCGTGCTCCAGAGCCTCGGTGAGGGGCGCGGGAGGCCCCTTTCTCTGGCTAACTCCGCCGATCGGTCGGGCCCACTTGCTATCCCCATTGCACAGATGGGAACACCGAGACACCGAGGGGTTAGGTCATTTACTTACGTTCTCACCACTAGCAGTACCCGAGCCAGCATTCAAACCGTCTGTGTGATGTCACAAGCTGTGCGTACAGCGTCGAAGGCAGGGCTAGAGAACATGAGGCCCGTGAAAGGCTCAAGACCAGCTAACATCACCCCCACCCCACCCCCCAACCCAAGAGAAGCCGTTCCAACCATCCCATTAGGAGTGAGTGCACGAAATGTTTGACCAAATGTAGCAGGCTAATTTTTAAGTTGATCATTTGGCCTGCGAATGATTTTATAAAGAGCCAAATGGCCCTGGATAGAGAAAAAGCGCCCCGCCCCTGCCCAAAGGCCTGGCGTCCTGCTGGTGCCAAGTGTCAGCCCAGTCAGTCACCTCCGTGTGGCATTCACGAAGCTGCTCCATCTCACAGTGGCAGCAGCAGGGTGGAGCAAGCCAAACCCATCAGCCCGAAGGGGATGGATACAGAATGCTCCCCCTGCCTCTCTGCCTCCTCCTCCTTTCCCTCCCTCCCTGCCTCCCTCTTCCTTTCCTTCCCCATGGTTTTCACAGTTTTAGAGAAAAGCGCCCCCCCACACACACACACACACACTGTGTTTCTTAACAGTTCATCCTCTCTCAGTTGTTGGACAAAACCCCAGGAACCCGCTCAGAGGAGGCCAGGGGGCAGAGGCTTAGACCAGCCCACAGCCCTGCTGTGAGGGGTGGTGCCGGCCATGGACCAGGCTAAGAACACTCTGGCTGGAAGATGGGCTCTGACACTGACCCGTCACAGGGCTTGTTTGTGAGCTTCCCAGCACCCACACGGTGGGGTCTCCGCCAAGGTGGCTGCGATTAGCATCCTTAATAACACCGCGTGTTCTTTCGTGGCAGGCCTGAAGTGCCGTTCCACAGAATGAACCATTCGGTAGGTCTCTTTCATCTTGGAAACACAGCTCTGATTTGAGATGGCAAGTGAGCGAGGAACTGAGATTTGAAGGCTGCGGTCCCCTCCCCCCCTCGAGACCTTTTAGGATCCGACCAATGGTTTCCAGACATGTGGATTTCCAGAGGCCAGTGACCCTTCTGTGCTTGCTTTACAGGGGCTACGGGGGGCAGTACCGTCCTGGGCAACATTGGTGCTTCTCTGGGTTATGGAGTCTATAAGGCCGTCAGCAGCGGGGATGAGGAGCGGGAGCAGGAGGAGGAGGAGGAGTAACCCAACAGCTGAGAAACAGCCCCCTTCACGCTCCTCAATGATCTAGCTGAGGAAACAAAATAAATCTCTCTCAGAAAACACTTTGTCTTTTGGTGAATCCCTCTTGCTATGAGAAGACCCAACAAGATCTGGTTCTGATCTGCGGCACCCTTCCCCCATACCCTCGTTTTCCCCTAACGCCATTGTCAGCTTGCCTGCGGCTTAGCACCTGTTGTTCTCTTTGCCTGGAATGCCCTTCTGCACCTCCACCCTCAACATCAAACTCGCAGCTACTGAGTCAGTTTTAACTCACAGTGACCCTCGAGGACAGAGGAGAATTGCCCGGGAGGGTTCTGAGACGGCAGCCTTTTACAGGAGTCAAAAGCCTCACCTTGCCCCTAGGGGGGCTGCTGGTGGTCTTGAGCCACTAACCTTGTGGTACGCAACCCAAGGTGTAACCACTACATCCTCAGGGCTCCAAGTTACCTGGGAAACTCCCTTTTGTCCTTCCAAATTCAACCCAGACATGCCCTTTTCTGAGCTGCCTCCCCAGAAGAGCCCCTCCCCCTGCCCCCTTAGGCTCTATTTCCTGGGGTGCCTGGGGAAGGCAGAGCGCCTTTTGTTCTCACTCCCAGCTGCTTCTCTGAATAGGCAGAGATAGAGAAACCAACTCCCCATTATCCAAAAAGCCACCAGAGAGATCTCTCTAAGATGGGGATACAAAGCCAGCTCCCCTTTGTCACACGGAACAGGCGTGGGCCACCAGCAAGTCTCTTCCAGGGAGACCTCTGGGAACAGGATGACCGTTGACACTTTAGGGCACCTGGGCCTTGATGGGAAGGGAAGGATGACCCCGGCCCTGTCTGGGACATTTGAGCTTTGGAAGTTTCAGTACTGGAAATCCAGTAACACTGAAGGTGGGGTGAACCCAGCACGGAGAGAGAGGGATTCTGCTGGGTACACAGCTTCCTCAGTGCTAGCCCTCCTGGGAAACCCTGCACCTTGGGAAATGACTGCCTGAACTACAAACACTGCTCACAAAAGGACTATCGCTTGGTCCCCCTCCCAGGTCTGCTCAGACCCCCCCACACACACACCATGCACTTCTAACTAGCCTTTCTTAGAATCCAGAAATTCCTCTACAGTGAAGTGTCAGTGTGCATGAGGTTCCATTCGCTTGTTTGCATCCCTCATCCTAATGTCAATGGTTTGCCATAGCTAATCGCTTGCCTCAGAGTCCCAGAGAAGTGGTTTGTAGCAAAGGTGCACAGGGGGACACTGATCCCCAAACTCTATCTCTGTGGCTTGTATCCCAGAGCAGAAGCTGGGGCTGAGCCCCCAACATGATGCTAACTCACCATTCGAGCCCGAGCAGATTCCAGCTTTGGTGAGCGAGGATTTCAGTCTGAAGACAGCCTGAGTCTCAGTCATCACATCTCGTGGGGACCTGTTTATTTCATCCCTGACTGTCTGGGAGGTCACCATCTCAGGGATATATGTGTGTGGCACTATATCTAGTTTATTTCTAGATAGCCCCAGTTCTGGACACATACCTGGCAGGCAGTAGGTACTTATTATATAAGGGGGCATCAAAAAGTTCATGGGAAACAGAATGAAAAGTTCATGGAATTTTTTGCACAAACTTTTTTTTTTTAACATTTTATTAGGGGCTCATACAACTGTTATCCCAATCCATACACACATCAATTGTGTAAAGCACATTTGTACATCGTTTCTCAAAACATTTTCTCTCCATTTAAACCCCCGACATTAGGTCCTCATTTTTCCCCTCCCTCCCCGCTCCCCCCTCCCACATGAGCCCTTGATAGTTTATAAATGGGTATTTTGTCATATCTTGCCCTGTCCGACGTCTCCCTTCATCCACTTTTCGGTTGTCTGTCCCCCAGGGAGGAGGTCACATACAGTTCCATGTAATCGGTTCCCTCTTTTTGCACAAACTTTTTGAAGCTCCCTCCTATGTGAGAGTTGAGCCCAAGATCAGCCTCCTTCACTCCCATCTGTCTGTCCCTTCCCTCTCCCCACTCCCCAGGCATCATGGGCTGGCAAGACTGGGCCTATTTTCTTAGAATCTTTTCCTAAGAGCCCTTGCCACCCCAGGATGCCTACCCCAACCCCCTACCTTTGAGCAATGGCTGGCTGTCATCTTCATGGAAGTAGACCACCCCATCTTCCTCCCCTGGCGGGGCTGGTGGCCTTGAATATCAGTATTTATTTAGCAGCTGCATGCTTTCACCACTGTGCCTCGAGAGTCGCTGACACCCCCCCCACCCCCACCATTGTTGTCAAGTCAGTTCTGACTCAAAGCACCCTTTTGTGTAACAGAAAGAAACACTGTCCGGTTCGGTGCCATCCTTACAATCCTTGGGTGGTGCCAACAGTTAAGCACTCAACTATTAGCCAGAAGGTTGGTCTTTCAAACCCACCCAGATATGCCTCAGAAGACAGGTCTGGCCACCTGCTGTTGAAAGGGTCTCGCTTTGAACACGCCGTGGAGCAGCTCAGCTCTGCACACCCAGGCTGCTGGGGGTCGGGAGTGACCCCACGGCATCTGACTGCCCAAAAGCATGCATCTTGGAATTTTTTTCCCTTGAACATCACGGCCAGAGAGGGGTGGCTATGCCCTCAGGGTTTGAGATCTGAGGCCCCAGCAATTCTCAAGATGAATGACCCAGGAAGACCAGCCTCTCTTTGGGCCTGTGCGGGATGACTCCTTGTCGGCTCCTAGGAACCCTGGTGGCAGTCAGCAGGTCAAAACCACTAGCTGCTCTTCAGGGGAAAGGTGGCTTTCCACCCCCACACAGAATGAGTCTCGGCACCCCACGGGACAGTTGGACTCTGTCCTGTCGGGTTGCTGTGAGTCAGCATCGACTTGGTGGCAGGGAGAGTCAGTCTGTGCCCTGTATCAGGCACTGGGCAGTAAGAGACCCAGCTCCCACTCACTCGGGGCCCAGTGCCCAGACAAGGAACGCCGTACAACCACCTCCCCCGTCGCAGCCTTCCCCTCCATGTCCTCTGCTGATAGAGCAGGGGGCATCGAGGGGGGCACAGCTCACGCAACCAGAGACTCAGAGCTGAGTCTGAGCGCCCCGCAGCCCTCTCGGAGCCCCAGTGTCCCCACCTGCAAACGGAAGAGGTGGGCTGCACAGTTGCCAGGCCCATGTTGTTCTAAACTTGGAGTTTCTGAATTCCCTCTGAGGGTCAGATCCTGGCCCTCTGAGGCTGGATTTTATTTTGGGGTACAACCCAAAGCCATCTTGCGGTGCCAAGTTTGGTGACGAAGGTAAGTGATGGTGCTGGGAGATGCCGTGTTTGGTCACAAATGAGGGTGACTGCAGCCAGCAGGCTGGCTCCTCACCACACCCTAAAAGGAGGTCAAAAATAGATCTTGTCACACGGTGGCTGACTTGCCCTAAAACCTTGAGTACCTCCGCCACATCTCTGGGCCTGTTTTCTTGCCTGTAGAATAGGGGAAGGGGAGGCGATGGACTTTCACCCAGACTTAGAATATTATTCCTGAATGTTCAAGTCAGAGGTCTTTCTCTGGTGGCACTGTGAGTTAGGCGTTCGGCTGCTAACGGCCCAGTTGGCAGTTCAAACCTACCACCTACTCCCACGGTGACAGATGAGCCTGTCAGCTCCTGTACAGACCCTATGCAGGCTCACCAAGGGTCAGAGTCCACGTGATGGCTGTGGGTTTGTTTGGCGTTGGGTTTTCCCTAATACGCGCCTCTCCTTTATCTAGGGATTTCCCATATTCTTTCAGGATCTCTCCATTCTCATCACCTGGAAAGTCAACTCATTCCCTTTCCCCTGCAATGGCTCCCACATCCCTGAATGCTATGTACAATGATGTCCACCCGGGGGCAGTCAAGGCCCACCCTGGAATCTCCTCCCTCCAAAGAGTAGCACTGCAATTATCCACAGCCAGCCTGCCTCCCTGGGGCGGTAGGGATGGGCTTCCAAGACTGAGACGAATTAGACTGGGCCCCTGCTCTGCTGCAGGGGGTCCAGAAACTCTCGGGAGGGGCTCCATCCCTCTCAGATCTTCAGGCCTACATCCTTGGAAACGCCAAGCTCCTGGGCCTGGCATTCGAAGCCCTCTTTGATCAGTTCCCATCTCCGACTGTATTCGCAGCCCTGCGCCACAGGGATGGAAGGGGAATGAGAGGGGCACTCCGTATACACTTCTTGAGCAAGCCGCAGAGGATGAACTGGTAGCCAAGAACTGCTGGGGCCAGCCTGGAAGGGACCTGGGGCCAGTGGAGGGCCTGGGTCAGCAGTAGCTGGTGGGAGCTGAGGCAGAGGATGCTTGTGGCTTCCTGTGAAGAACTGAGAAGCCACTTCCTTTAAGCAGATGGCTTGGGGGAAGGGGTGGGTATTTGGGGAGCTCTGGCTTCCGGACTTGGGGGGTGGGTCCCAGGAAGGCCAGATGGAGAGCCCCAAAGAGCCTTTTCTTTCCCTCCCTCTGGGGTCTCCATGCAGCTGGCAGCTCAGATAGGAAGTGTCCCACTCTCCCCACACGCTGTGAAGCCACAGAGAGAGAGGGAGGTAAAGGGACAGACTACCAGTTAAGAACGGGAGCATTGGTTAGTCCGACAAGCAAGCCCAAGTACCCTCGTCCAGCTCCTCAGCCTGGTAACTCACCGCCAAACCCAAACACTTGGTCTGGTTAATCCAGCCCACACCTCCATCGGCAAACAGCAGCTGCAGAGGTGCCCACCAGCAGTTGGCAGGGGCCCACTGAGTCCTTCGCTGTGTGGAGATTAGCCTCGCAGGAGGCCTCCTCTTCATTCTTTCTCTCAAGATCTATTCGCTGGATTGGTTGAAGCCAGTATCAAGGGAAACACCAGTCCAGCTATGATGAATCATCACAAAACCTAACCTGCATGTTTCCTGCTTTGTTTCTATTTATCCACATGTAGCTGGTCCAGCGTGGTGCCCATCCCTCAGCCTTCCCCCTACCCCCTTTACCACCACCCCTACATCCACTGGAGGACGAGCTCCAGCCACTAGGGCCAGAAACAGGAGGTCAGGGCAGGGCAGGAAAGCTTTCTGAAACCAACCTTGAGCAGAGAAGCAC